CTCTCTCTCTCTCTCTCTCTCTCTCTCTCTCTCTCTCTCTCTCTCTCTCTCTCTCTCTCTCTCTTGTGCCTCTCTCTTTCACCTGCTCCGGCGACGAGTTTCAGTGCCGCCTCCAGTCAACGTCGCCTCCCTTCAACATGCCTCCGCTCAACACCATCTCCCGCACCAGCAGCAACACCTCCGTCTCAGCAACAACACAGCATCACCTCCATCTCTATCTCCTACACCAGCAGCAACACTGTGAATTTGTGGGATTGATTAGTGGGCCACTCCCACGTGAGTACTGCAAGCAGCACAAAGAAAACGCGTGAGCGCGCCGCCTCCGATCAACACGCCTCCGGTCAACACCATCTCCCGCACCAGCAGTATCACCTCCGTCTCCATCTCCCGCACCAGCAGCAAGCCAACAACACTTCCTTCGCCAACATAAACCCATCTCTCTCTCTCCTCTCTCTCTCTCACTTCCTCCGACAACCAGTGGTCCAACAACACCACTAGAACTTCCCTCCGATGACCAGCAGCAACAACATCTCCATCTGATTCAGACTGAGATGAGGAGGATATCCAAGTTGACGATGATGGTAGTGACGAGGATGCTTTGAGAGATGAGATTTTGCTACTCGGCACCAATGATGATGATGAGTGATGATGCGTCATTCCTCGATTTCAGACTTTAGTCACTTTACTTTTGAGACTTCTAGCTTTTAATTTGCTTTTATTTAGACTTCTGAGATTAGAGTTTAGACATATCATGTGTTTGGAGTTTGATCTTTATTGCTTGCTTAGTACCTATAGACTGTTATTATCTATCATGATATTATCTTGCGTTGCTCATTTATCATGTCAATTTTCTAGTAGTTAATATAATAATGATGTTACTAATCAGTGCTTTTCTATTGTTGAGAATTTTTATATTAGAGACTTGAAAGTTGAAGCAATGGAACAAATACCAGTCTTTTTGATAAACAAGTACGTTTTTTATTCTTTATAATTATAGTATTTTGCTAATATTATGCAATTGTTACACATCTATTTCATGCTTAGGCATGAAATATGCATTTGTAGAAATTTTAAATTTTTTTATAATTTTTTATTTTTTAGAATATTTAAATATATTTATATTTGACTGCTATTTGACTTTGCGCTATTTACCACTATTTTGCCGTAATAGCCCCAAATAGCCTTAGCGGTACCTCACGCAACCTTACTATAAATTTTAGTTATTATATTTTCTATACATCCCAAAAGTTTTTTAAACATCAGCCTCATGTAAGCATTTTTTTTATTTGTGAATGTTATATTTATCAATACGTTGCATATTCATTAGTTGTATCATGTTTGCCTACATATATATGACTAGAATAGGATAATGAATATTTATTGAATATTTACCGAATATCCACCGAAAATGAACCGAATAATTCACAAAAAGACTACATTAAAAAGTTAATGAATATTCACAAATAGTTGTTGAATATTCGAATACTAACCGAATCAAATTTGAATGCACATTTCCTATTCGTTTCAAATGCGAATAAGAATCGAATAATTGAATGAACTGAATACGAATACGAATATTGTGATATTCCATTTGAATTAGGTTTGTTTCCACCCCTAATAAAGGATACGTTCGACTCAAAATTTCCCTAAGAGACGTGTTTGATCCTCCATGAGTACAAAGAATAAAAGAGAATATTACATGATTTCCGTGACTTGAGTTTTCTTTTCTATTCCTTTCTTCTTGTTTATCTAAAGAAGAAAACTTCAGAATGCCAGCTTCGCTCCCTTTTCCTCATAACCTGTATCGCTTCGCTCCCTTTTCCTCATAACCTTTATCATCTCAACTAGGGGTGCCAAACGGTTCAGATATATCCGAACCGATCCGCATCCGTATCCGAACGGATACGGATATGGTAGGCTAATTTTGAAACCGGGCGGATACGGATACAAATATGATTTCGGATTTTTTTTCGGATACGGATTCGGTAACGGATATGAGGGTTGCGGATACGGATATCCGTAATGTAATAGTGATTCGGGTAATCGGGTCCCAAATTTATAGTTACAAACCCGCTAACCCAAAACCAAAACTTAAAACGAAAAAACCCTAGGCCCTCACCCTCACTCCCTCAGCCATCAGGCCGCCTCCACTCTCCAGCCCTAGGCCGCCTCTCTCTCTCTCCAGTCTCAAGCCGTTCGCCAGCGATTTGCCAGCGATCTCACAGCCGAAAATATCCTCCCTCAGCCCAAAAGAAATAAATCAACGTGAAACTTTGGGTTTTTAAAATGAAGAGCCCAAAAGAAAAAGAAAACCCCTAAAATTTTTCTTTTGCTTGCCTGTTTCCAAGTTAAGAGCTCAATCAAAACCCTATTGCAATCGAGAGGGCGATGTAGGATGCGTGAGTTCCAAATATTCGATTTTCTTCCAGCGTAGGTCAATTGCTGGTTCGATTTTTCAATGGCTAAGCGAGTCTATGAAGTTTGGAAAGGAAACAATGTAAGCTTTTTATGATTTCATTTCTTGGTTTTGGGGTTTTTAATTGCATTTAGCATCTGTGCGTGTGAAAATAGTTGGACTATTTATTTTCCCAAGGTTTAATTTGCTACCTTTGGTGAATTTGGCATGTGGGCATGTGTGAATCTTTTAGTTCTTTGAGCGTGTCATGTTGGATTTGCTTGCTGGGTGGAATTTAGCATCTGGGTATGTTTGCTCAGTTCATTTTGTATGAGGAGTTGAGAATTTTGGTAATAATAGAGTTTTTGGCTTTGTGTTTATTGGAGAACCCTTTTTAGTTGCTTGTACTTGCTGTAATGGGGGGTTGAGCTTGTGAAATGGTGATTGTTCATTCTAGTGTTTGTATATGTATTCTGAAGTCATGGAACAAAAATCAAGCATGTGAAATAAGGCACTATATCAAACATTTGGTTAAACTAATAAATTACCCTGTGCAGGTAAGTATCTGGGGAATCAGGCATTTTGTAGTGTCAGATGGCTCAGCACGGACGGGTCTACAAGGACGCAGCAGAGAAGTTGTTCAAATGTTGCTTGCTGTTGATTCAAGAGTAGTGTCAGTTGACTCAGTTCTCTTTTTGTGAAATGTTTGTCATGGTTGTCTGAACTATTGTTTTAGTTGGTTGTATGAACTTATTGTGTCATGGTTGTCTGAACTTTAGTCCTCCTGTGAAATGTTGTGTTATGGTCGTCTTGTGAAATGTTTGTGTCATTGGTTGTGCTACTGAAGGTTTTGGATGAAGATTATGTCTAATAGATTTGTTCTCAATTTTAGTAATTCTAATTATATGTGAATTAAAGAGAAGCCTACAACCACATACATTTACCTATTTGGTTGTAATTCTAATTATACGTGAATATCCGTTTATATCCGTGATCATATCCGATCCGATTCTCAAATATCCGATCCGTATCCGTTTCCGATAAGTGAGGATATGGTTAGTATTTTTTCTTACCGAGAATGATCCGTATCCGTATCCGTTTATAAGAAGCAGATATGGATATGGTAAGTGTCATATCCGAACCGTATCCGCTCCGATAACACCCCTAATCTCAACCCAATAAATTATGTTCAGTCCCGCTGGGTTTGGAAATGCTAGGCAACTTGGCTGAACCCAAGTGGACCTGCACTTAGTGATTGAAGTTCAAATGGATACCATACAGCTTATCCTAATCCATTATAAATTAGCTAATCATAGGTCAAAAAAATCTAACTCAGCGATTGTCTTCCAGATAAGTAAGCTTAATCAGAGCTCTATATTAGGATGAGCAAGAGAAACAAATTAAACTATCAACATGTACCTTGTAGACAGCTCCAAAACCACCTCGACCTATCTGATTTCTTGGGCTAAAATTATCTGTAGAAGAATTCAGCTCACGGTAGGAGAAAAGCTTAATATTCTTGGCAGATGAAGAACCTGGCCAAGAGAAAGGGAGAACACCATTAAATAACCTTTACAGAGATTTATAATTATGAAAATACACGATCCTGCAAGCATGACAGAGATTAACCAATATCAAAAGGAACAAAAATGCGGTGTGACTCTCATTTACTTGAGTGTTTTAAGTTTCTGCCAACCTCAGCGTAATTATATACTGGGCACTTGTCAGTTAAGAAACCACAGGTATCATTCAGGTTGTTGAAATCATCTACATAGATCACTTGTAGCCTCTGTTAAATCAATGAGATGTAACTATTCTTTAGAACCATATAGATCAACTGGAAAAAAATATTATTCACTAAAAGCCACCTCGGTTACATGGTTTGCAAGGTTAATATATGACCAGCCAGGTCACCCTTATTGACCAGGATAAGTGCAGTTTCAGGTTCAGATTGAACTTGTTTCGCTGGCCAGACAGCTTTTTGCAATCAAAAAGTATCACAAGTACACATCACCATTGAAAAAAACATTATAATAAGTAAACATTTCTTACCGCTAAAGTTTTCTCGAGAACGAGAAAGATCCCTTTTCTTCTTAAGTTCGAAGCAAAAGTGGCAGCAAGTCATATCACACTTCTGTAGTTGTCCGAGAGTCTTCTGGATAATTAAAAAAAAAAGAATCAGCACAAACTTTGAAAATATTCAAAGACGAGGGACTAGCAGACCGTACTCCACTTGATGGTGTAAGTGGTGGGAAAGGTTGGTCAAAGAAAAACTTATCATGAAAGCAGCCTTTTCGAGTTTCTGATTCGATACGTCTTTCCTATAAACCCCTCATGTGCATGCATATGCCCTCTATACTGATGGTTGGAATTAACAGATGACATGCTACCACATTTTTAGGCATGTTTGAAGACTATAACACATGCACAGAGACTTAAGAGAGGAGGTGATGTACCTATATGCAATATGTATCTAAGATTTGGGCTCTCTACATGATAAATGCATACTGAGTACTCCTTTGATGTATCTCAAAGTTTGGAGAAATCCTATTTGTATTGAGACATCACATATACATTCAACACTAAAAAGTTAAAAATTCATTATATGAATTAAAATAGCAATTACTATTGATTTATAGATACAGTACATTTATGTAGTTTATCAGTTTCTTAAAAACGAACATGATATTGATGTAACAGGTTAAAGACACATCAGTTTTTATATTGATCTATTCATGAGTCAGTATTCTAGACTATTGGCATCTGCATTATTTATGCTACCATGCTATGTCATAGTGCATGTTACTGACACGAGTACAGATATGAGTATGAGAAATTTGGAAAAGGTGGGGCACAAAGCTCATGCTGCTCCTCGGTTCTCTTCCCTCTCGATGTACCCCCACTAACGTAGATGACTAGAATATAAAGACTCAAAAGCAAGTCTTGGATTTACTAGAATGACACAACAAATAGTAAGATGAAAAAATAGAAATGACACAAAAAGAGTAAGTAGAACTGTGCAGAATGATATCCATTATCACCATCATACAAGCCTCTTTCTATCGAAATAGGATAGGTAATGGAGCATGACGCAAAGTATGACTACTTATATGAATGCATCTTTTTGCACCTCTACCAATGCCACTGATAAAGTTAGAGGAATCCTACAGATTTTCTTTGGATTGAAAAAAAAAACGCGTAGGTAATATGACAAGGCTTTCCGAACAATTCGCTTCTCATGTCCTCTAGCAGACTCATTTCTTAAGCAAGCCTGTTACAATGAAGCTTGTGCATCAACTTCTTTTTTGACGTTACCTTCCTCTTAGCTTATAATCAAAGCGGACATATTCCGTATAAAACCATGAAGAAGCCAAAGAAAGAGAGTAATCAGTAAAGCACCCACCGACTAAATATCCACCATTTCAACAATTTTCCTCCAGACTCTAATTCCCTAACCAACTGTAAGGATCAGCCACAATTTACTACCAAATGTGAAGGGTCTCAACCATATTTCACATTCTTAAAACTAAAAGGAAAAGCCCATGATGCAATCAATTTGTTAACTTTGAGCTTGCCTACATACAACAATGAAGACACAAATGCACATAAAGGCAATCATAGCTAAAAAAAACAACAACAGACAACATATATAACGAAAAAACAAAACCCAATAAAAAATTAAGCAAAAGAGAAAGAGACATGAGATGGGAGATCATACCTATAGGAAGAAACACATGAAGAATCCCAAGGAAGGAAATTATGAGAGCATAAATTAAATATCTCCACCCGGCCACCAATTCTTCGCTTCAGTCTCTAATTCCCCACGGCAACCATGAGATCAGCTTTAATATATTACCAAATGAAAAGGGTCTCGGCTATACTTCAAATTCCTAAAATTAAAAGGAAAAAAGAACCCATGAAGCAATCATCACATTGGCTAAGTTGAAGCATGTCTACATACATACAATAAGATGAAAACCCAAATGCATATAAAGACAACTGCTGAGAGATCAGCCTAAACTCTCCACCAAGTCAAACAAATTCCCTACACCAACTATTGAGATCATCCTCGATATAGTACTACATGAAAACGCCTCAACCGCACGCGCCCAAGTTCTTAAACTAAAAGAGGAAAAACACCATGAAGTAATCATCATATGTGCTGAGGTGAAGCATGTTTACATGAGGACAATTACACAGATATTAGCCTGAGAGCTCTCCACCAAGTCATCAATTTCTCTCCATCACACCCTAATTCCCCACACCAACCACAAGATCAGCCTCAACATACCTCCTAATGAAAAGGGTCTCAATCATACTTCAAACCCTTAAACTATTAAAACTTAAAGAAGCCCATGAACCCACCATTAAGATTTGCTGAGATAAAAGCAAACCAACATAAGATATGAGAACACACATGCAGATAAAGACAACAACAGAACCCATGAATGCTAGAAAAAGACCATGAGGTGAGAGATGACACCTGTGGGAAGAAACCCATGAAGAAGTTAGGCAGATTGAAAACCACCCACCCACCAAAAATGACTTTTCCTTCGTATGTAATGAGCTTTTAGCTTATCCGACTTAGGAAAGTTTTCCACCAAAATTTTGGTGGATAATGACCGCTTCAACATCCTCGCGTTCCTTACTGACCATTTGTACGAGGACCGATCTCTCGCTCCCAATTCTGACCAGGCGATGGAGAGCAGCGATCGCAGTGGTTTTTTTTTCCTTTTTTAATATAGTTTTTCAAACAACAGGGAAGAAAAGTAGCCGCCACGGTTGGGCTGGCACTGATCGCGACGAGGACGAGAGCTTTAGACATCAGAGAGGGGTCTTTGTCGGAGGGGGTTTTAATGAGAGGCAGGATATGGGTCCTCATAAATTATTTGGTACCAACAATTATGCAAAAGCTTTGGAGCCAAAGATATTTTATGTGAAACTTTTTTTTTTTTTGAGGAATAAATGTAGAGACATTTATTTACATAGGAAAACTGGAAGTGGGTTGGAGGCAGTTATTGCGCTTCCCTGAAAACAGGGGCCAGTGACGTGGGCATGCCCCGGCCCCAGGCCCGGGATCAGAGGCAAGCCTGGTCTACACTCATTCTGAACCGGCCTGGTCTGAAACACCGTGGGCTGCTTTACAGGCCTGAACCAGCCGGGCTCACGCCCATCCCTACAGTCAATCAGGATAATCTAACTTTCACACAGCTCCTCGGAAACATTAGAGCTTTTTAGAGAAAATCCCAATGAACTTCACTTATTTCACTAACCTCCCTTGCCCGAAAACCCCCTAGGTCAACGTTGTCAGTAAAATACCGCGCCCCTCGATTAGTAACAATACCTAGTCATGATACTTGAGGGTTTTCAAATAATGGTATTTTCATAATTTTTGTGAACAATTATGACATTGGGAGTGTTGATGTACTAGCGATCACACAGTCAGTATGTCCGTGTTTGGATGAGATTGTTGAGGATTGATGAAGGGGCCCGCTTTATTCTCTGACTTTATGTGTAAACGAATATGCACAAGTAGAAGTTCGTAAGAGGATGAGGTTTGCCCCCCCCCCGGTTGTACCTACGACGATCAAGTTAGATAATGAACTTGAGTGGGGTGAGAATAAGAAAATGGGAGAGTTCTTGTGTGTAGTGTAATTGTTTGAGGAACATATTTGTAAAAATCCAGATCTAGATTAGAATCCAAAATTCCAGCCTTCGATCCCCTCCCTGAGTTGAAATAGTACATGTATGTACACCTAGGGTATAAGGGTAGATCGGTCACTTCGGCCGAGCATTGAGAGGCGGTGGCGAAGTGCGGGCTGACGGTTGCGTCAGCACCTGCTTTACAGGTGTCGGCTGGTGATGCGGCACAAACATGTACCAAAAATGTTACAAGTACACAACTGTATCAGGTTATAGTATAAAAAGTTATCGATCCCACGAGGAAGGTGTTTTGTAGGAGAAAATTAAAATTGGTTCTTATGTTGTGTGCATGACAAATAGGAGTGAAGAATAAGTGTGATTATGGAGAGATGGAGAGAATGAAAATGATTGTGTAAATGAATATATTTGAGAGTGGAAGTGATAAAAAAATAAATGTGATCAACAAGGCAATAAGGAAAATTCAAGAAACAAATAAAAATCAAGAATGAAAAATAAAATTCAAGAAAGTAAAGATGGTGGATTCAATTAAAGATAGGTGTAATCTAAAATTGAACTCACTTATTAGAAAAATGTGATTCCCTAGAGGGTTCTAGCCTAAAGGCGAATCAAAGAAAATAAAAATAAACAAAAAGAAAAACTAAACCCAAGAGGGTTCTAGCCTCAAGGTGAATAGTATAAAAAATTAAAATCTAACTACAAAATAAATTACAAAATCTAAACTACAAAATAAATTACAAGAATTAAATGCAAAAAAATAAATCTAACCTATAAACATGAAATAAATCTAAGGCAAGAGGATTCTAGTCTCTTAGCTATTTAACAAGAAAATAAAATCTAACTACAAGCATAAAAATAAATCTAAACTAATAAGCAATAAAAAAGAAATAAAAGAGAAAAAATAAAAGAGATGCAAACCTCCAAATAATTCTTCATCTCCATCTTCATCATCCAATAAAGAGAAGAAATATTCAAAGTGGTGAAAAAAATATTTTATTAATTGTAACAAAAGTTACAAATTTGAAAAACCTTCTCAATTAAGAGTGACCCTCCTCTCCAAATGGAGTTACAAAAATTTCACACCTCTTACCCCTCACTCTCTACCCCTATTTGTAGTAAACATTAATGAATGAGAGCCATTGGATTGAATCCTTATCCAAAACCATAAAAAATCAGCCATTGATATGTAACTGATTCGTAGCCATTGATACCAGCATCGATGTCCAATCAAAAATATGCCTCCACATATGGCTTCGTCTTGTCGAGATAGGTGATTTTCATATATTATATTTTAAATTCTGCCTTTCGGATTGAGAAATATCGTCGTTTCTTTGAGGGCAACCATCTTGAATATATTTTGTTTTCATATTTGATTTTTTTTATTTTCTCTGGCTTCTACAAGCTACTCAGCTTGATTCTGGGCTTGGGATTTTTGGCTCTTGCTTGTGTTTTTCATTTAATTCATGAGTTTTTGTTGAGAGATGGGATTTTGGGGCTCTATTCTTCATTAACCTGCAATTAAAGATAAAAACAATTATTAGTGGTATATTTATTCATTAAAAATAGATAATGAGGATATAAAATTATAATAAAATGTGATTATCAGCTGGCGAGTGGGGGAAGGATCACTTCAGCATTAAACATGAAGTGGTTGACAATATGACAGTGCCCGCGTGGTCCGATGAGTCATGATGGCTATCGAGACTAGGGGCATGATGAGCCTGATATGCATTAAATGTGATGCTGACACGTTGCTAGTGAGGATAGGCTCGAGGCGAGAATAGTCCTCTAGCTTCGCCGAGAAGTAACGCCTTTTGAGTCGGCTTCGCAATGCGTCTGGCGAGTGGTCGGGTGAAACTCGCGGTGAGTCGGCTTCAATAAGGGGGCGACAAGTACCGCCTTTTGAGTCAACATAGAGAGATGTCGACTCGACAGGGCGGCTAAGTTGTCGTCGCTATTGGTCTTCGGCCGTCAAGTCGATTGAGGCATAGCACGTATGAGTACATTTGTCTGTTGCTTAGCACTGAGTTGCACTTTGATGAAATGGGAACACTATAACAGGGGAGGATTGGGAAAAATTAAAAGTTTATGAGTTTTTTGAGGC